TTCTTCTTCTTCTTCTTCTTCTTCTTCTTCTTCTTCTTCTTCTTCTTCTTCTTCTTCTTGTCGTTCTTCTTCTTCTTCTTCTCTCTCTCATCCTTCTTCTTCTTCTTCTTCTTCTTGTCGTTCTTCTTCTTCTTCTTCTCTCTCTCATTCTTCTTCTTCTTCTTCTTCTTCTTCTTCTTCTTCCTCTTCTTCTTCTTCTTCTTCTTCTTCCTCCTCCTCCTCTTCTTCTTCTTCTTCTTCTTCTTCTTCTTCTTCTTCTTCTTCTTCTTCTTCTTCTTGTTGCGAGTTGAGCATGTGTGTCCGTGTGTGTGTTATTGTCATTCTATTCTTGTACATGCCATTGGACGCATAGCGGGTTGGCCTCGCTATTCCATTTCAATTCTTCTTCTTCTTCTTCTTCTTCTTCTTCTTCTTCTTTCTTCTTCTTCTTCTTCTTCTTCTTCTTCTTCTTCTTCATCTCCAGGATCCTCTTCTGGGCAGTAGTAGTAGTCGTCCTGATCATAGTTTGGCTTGGTGTTTGTGATTGTGTTTCTACTGCTGCTGCGTTTTGTGCCGTAGAGGCTTAGATCGCTGATGTCAATATGATTTAAAAATAATAATAATAATAATAATAATAATAATAATAAAAAAGAGGAGATTTTGAAAAATTGAGCGATGATGGTGGTGAAGGAGGTTGCCAAGTACGTGATTGCCTTAAATTCAAAATGCGAAAAACGAAAGAAAAAAAAAATCACGCAAAAAAAAAAAACAAAAAAAAAAACAAAGATGTGAGAAGGAACCTTCGTGAAAAGCATTCCCCAGACTCCAGGGTCAATCGTCAAATTGTCGGCCGGACTTCCCTCTTTTTGTTTTTTTATTTATTTTTTTGTCGGCGGACTTTATATAATGCCAAGCTACCGACATGCGAGCGGGAAGAAGCTGCCGTTTTTTTTTTTTTTTTTGTTTTGTTTTTGCTTCGGCGCTCTCGTATTGTGTGACGATATCGTGCTCTATCTTGGGGAGGGATGGCGGTGCTTCATGTGGGATTGGT